AGCACTTTGTGTTCTCACAGTAATGAATTAAAAATCCCTGTTTCTCCAGATCATTGCAAGGAATTGGTGTTGATAGAGTTTTGTTGTTGTTTTTAACTATTCAGTGGGTGTATAGAGAAATCTCCTTGTTTTAATTTGCATTTTCCTAATGACATGATGTTGAATCATGTTTTTATATGCTTATTGCCATCTGTGTATCTTCTCCTGTATGACATTTTAGGTGGTTTTTTTTTTTCAATTTTTAACTGAGTTTTGTACATATTACTGTTGAGTTTTAAATGTTTTATATATATATATATGTAAGTATATATATATATATATAATCATTCCTTTCTATATTTCTGTTTGGCGAAGATTTTTCCCCATTCTATGGATTGTCTTTTCTTCTTGTTAACAATGTGGTACACAGCAATTTTTAACTTTAGGGAAGCCAAACCTATTTATTAGTTTTCTATTAAGGATCATGCTTTTGTTATTGTATCTAAAAATTCCTTGTCAAGCCAAGATAACCAAGATTTTCTCTGATGTTATCTTCTAGTACTTTTAGAGCTTTATAGTTTACATTTAGGTCATGACTCATTTTGAATTAATTTCTGTGACAGGCATAAAGTTTGTCAATAGGTAGATTACCATTTGTTCCAGTGTTGAAAAGACTATGATTGTTCCATTGAATTTCTCCTTCTTCAAATATTAACTACATTTGTGTGGGTCCATTTCTGCACCCTCTATTAGGTTCTACTAATCAATTTGTCTAATAATTCATGAAGTACGGCAATATAAGTCAAATGACTTTCTTTTTGCTTCTGTTGGCTGTTTGGGTTCTACCGCTTTCCATATAAATGGTAGAGTCAGTTTGCCAATATCCACAAAATAACTTCTCCAGATTTTGTTCTGGATTGCCTTGAATCTATAGATCAGGTAGGACAGTCCTCATAACATCTTAATTATACTGAATCTTCCTATCCATGAATGTTAAATATCTCCACTTATTAGGATAATGCTTGATATCTTTCAACATTTTGTAGTATTCTCTCTATATATCTAACACATATTTCACTAGGTTTATACCTAAGTATTTCCATTTTTGTTACTAATGTAACTAATGTTGTTTTTAATTTCAAACTGCACATGTTCATTGCTAATATCCAGTAAGCCAATTGATTATTGTATATTAATTTTGTATCCTGAAATCTAGCTATAATTCCTTACTAGTTCTTACTAGTTCTTACTAAGCTTTTTTGTGGAACCTTTGGGATTTTATTAAATAGAGTACTATATAATTTTTTTTTTTTCCACAGGCAGAGTTAGACAGTGAAAGAGAGAGAGACAAAGAGAAAGGTCTTCCTTTTTCCGTTGGTTCACCCCCCAAATAGCTGCTATGGCCGCCGGCGCTGCGCCGATCTGAAGCCACTAGCCAAGTGCTTCCTCCTGGTTTCCCATGCAGGTGCAGGGCCCAAGCACTTGGGCCATCCTCCACTGCACTCCCGGGCCACAGCAGAGAGCTGGACTGGAAAAGGAGCAACCCGGACAGAACCGGCACCCCGACCGGGACTAGAACCCGGTGTGCCGGCACCTCAGGCAGAAGATTAGCCAAGTGAGACGGGGTGCCAGCCGAGTGCTATATAATTTTTGAACAAACACAACTCATCTTTCTCAATTTATATAACATTTATTTCCAAGCATTGCCATATTGTATTGACTAGGAGTTCCAACACAATGATGAATAGAAGTGATGAGAGGGGCCATCCTTTCCTTATTCTTGATGTTAGGGGAAAAGCATATAATTTCTCACCATTAAGTACAATGTTAGCACCAAGTTTTTGTAGATGTTCTTTATCAACATGAAGCAGTTCCCCTATATTCCTATTCTTCTAAGGGTTTTCATCATGAATATGTGTAGTATCTTAGATGCTTTTTCTGAAGTTATTGTGAGAATCATATTGTCTTTCTTCTTTATATTGCTGATTGACAGATTACATCAGTTTAATTTTGAGGTTGAGTCAGTCTTGTATACCTGGAATAAATCCTACTTAATTATGCTATGTAATTTTTATGTATTATTGATTTCAAATTTTCAATATTTTGTTGAGGATTATTTTGTTCCATGATGTTCATGAAAGATATCAGTATATAGCTTCCTTTACTTGTGATGTCTTTATGTAGTTTTACCATTTGGGTAATGCTGATCTTGAAAATGAGCAAGAAACTCTCCTGTTTCTATCTTTAGGAAGACATTGTAGATAATTGGCATAATTTATTCCATAATGTTTGGTAGAATTAACCCATGAATCCATCTTGGCCTTGAGCTGTTTTCAAAAATTACTAATTACAGATTAAATTGCTTTTTGTAGTTTTTGTTTTTAAAATTTTTATTAATATAAAGAGAGCATATTTCATAGACTCAATTCTAAAAAGATAACCATACTTGCTTCTCACTTTCCTCCCTCCCTCAAACCCTCCCACTCTTTCATTCCTTTCTTTTTTCCCTTTAATTTTTTCAAGAACGTGCTTGTTTGGTATTTCATTTACACTTTTAAGAGCATAATGATACTTCCCACCATATCCCCCTCCCTTACTCACTTCTACTCTCCCTCTTTCTTCTTTTCTTCTTTTTAATTTTTACAGTGACATACTTTGAATTTTCTTTATAATCACAAGCTTAACCTTCCTACTAAATAATTCAATACATACTAAATAGAAAAGCCAGTTTTCCTCAAGGATAGGGACAAGGGCTATAAATAATAATCAAAATATCAAAATGCCAATTTTACTCATATATATTACATTTATATGATTTTACAGTTTATATATTTCTTCTTGAATTAGTATTCATAGGTTCTATCTTTCTAGAAATTGGCCCATCTAAGTAGGTTATCATATTTGGGGGCAACTATTCATGGTTTTTCTCTATTATCATTTTAATATATGTGATATCAATAATGATGATCATTTTATTTCTGATAATATTCTGTCTTCTTTCTTTTTCTTGGTTAGCCTAGATAGAATTTCATTGATCTTGCAAAGAAACAACTTTTGTTTTCAATGATTACCTAATTTGTTGTTTTCAATCTCATTGATTTCTGCACTAATCTTTATTATTTCTCCTCTTCTTTTCACTTTGGATATAATTTTCTCATGATTTTAGTTTTCTAAAGTAGACTCAAGTTACTGATTATATTCTTTTCTTCTTTTTAAAGTTTGTTGTATCTGTTGCATAAGAGGCTAAATTTTCCTCTAACTCTTGCTTCTGTTCCTCCCTACCCTCACCACACTTATTTTTGCTGCTTTCTAGGGAGCTCATTTTAAATAGGGTCTGAGGATGGCAATTCTTTCAATTGCAAGCCCCTTTTATTATACAGAAGTCCTATCATGGTAGTTGTAAAATATGAGTGGAGAAGCATTCTATAATCTCAGTCCCTTAGTCCTTGGGCTGTGATTTTTATAACTACTTTTTCATCTTCCACCTTAGTTGAGATAGTAAGGTTCAAAGGGAATGGAGTTGTGTTTTTCCTTTCTCCCACATCAAAGATTAGAGAAGACAGGAATTTAGTATACCCCTTTATTCAGATCAGTCAGACTAGTAAAACCACATAGTTTAAGTTCTAGTAAAATAGCTTAAATTTGAGGGCAAGCACTTGTTAAAGAAATTAGAGCACTACGGACATATTTCAAATGGTTACTTTTCTTTACTCCCTGCCAGAAGCATGATGGGAAGTTTCCCAGATATTCATTCTGACAAGCTAGTAGGGCTCCCAGAGGTAGAACTCAAAAAAGAATCAGGACCCCACACCACTGGGACCTCAGGAGATTTTATCTCTCAGGTCCACAAAGAGTCTCCTGACATTACTCATTTTCCTTCGAGTGCTGCTATAAGGGTCCAGCTGTGATTTCTCCTGTAATTCTCCATCCTCTGCCTATCTCTCCTATTTTTGGTGTGATCTCGATGTCTGGAAGATCTAAAAAGAGTTGGTGATTTTCAGATGGTTCTGTTTTATTTTTCTTGTTGCATGCATGGAAGTAATGATTTCCAAGCTCTTCACATATCAGATTAGAAATCAGAAGTCCTCTAAATTGCCCTCCTTTATGACCTAAGTCTAATGTAATCAATCCCTTTTTAACTTCTCATAATATAAATTGTATAATTTTCTGGAATTTATTTTATTTGTCTCTGCTTAAAATTTCATGTCATATGGGACATTTTACCCTTGATATTAAAATCTATTAAAACAAGACATCATAATTTATTTATTCATAATGATGAATTTCATTATGATTTCGGGCATTATATTAATATGCTTCAAAATTCTTCTGCTGCCTTAATCTTATGGTCTAATGGGAGAATTAAAGCCTTAGGGAAAGGAGGACTGGAACTCTTGTCCCATATTTCTTGTTTGTTAGAAAAACATGTTAGTCAAAAAATATACAAGATCCGCTTTGCTACAGAAAGACTTCTGATTCCTTGAAATCCCTGAAAGGATCTCCTAAATGGATGTCTATGCATTGACTGCATTTTGATTACTATGTAACAATAATTGTTATAGTTTCTATAGTACCACTTGTAATTCACTGTTAATAGATTTTCCTTCATTGTTTTTAGCCCTTACAATAATCTTCAGTATGTGAAATTTTAATCCCTACTTTGCAACTCTAGAAAGCAAGACTTGGAAAAGTTAAATGATTTCTCTAAGGTCAAACAGGGATATGAAACTAAATCAAAAGATGAGGAATTGAAACCCAAGTTTAAATGAATCTAGCCAACATTCTTAACTCCTTGGTTACCCACCCTCCTGTATACCTCTACTCTGCTTCATGGTATCACAAGCTACCTCCACGCTATAAATTACACACTTTTAAATGAGTCCCTCTTGACCCACCCCTTTTGATTTGAAAATTTCAAACTTTATTATTTAATAAACCAGGCCTGGCCAATCTGAGGCATCTTCCATGTCTTAGAAGACAATTTTTTAGCATGCCCACTCTGAGGAGAACAGTATACTTACTATTGGTTAGCAGGTGGTTCTGCTGCAGTGGATTGAGGGTAGGAGCACCCCCAAGGCCTGGCTGACCAGCCAGAGTTGCATGTGCAATTCCATGCTGGGTTCCAGGAGCAGCAAGAGGAGACTGCATCTTTTCTTTATCCCAGGAAGATTCACTTCCACCTGAAAAATATTCATATGATCAGACAGCAATTTATCTACTTTTTGTGAGAAAGTTTCTTCAATTCTCTTTGTTTATGGTTGTAACCATTAATATTACCTCTTAGAAAATTTTTATTGAACATGGTATCTCATTTTTATGAATATTTCAAAGTCTTTCAGTATTCTAGCTTATTTAAGCTACTTCTGAGAACGCTAAAGCATTCCAACTAATGATATAGGCCTTCGACTCAGTAGTGTCAACAAACCTGCAATCACAATGAATAGCTTTTGAAGCATTTATATGTTGAAGGCCATTAAATACTACAACCAAAACTCTAACATGCATAGTCTGTATTTTACTGACACTTTTTAGTTTAAAGAAGAACAGATGTTGTTCCTTCAAAACCAACAAACTCACATATTAAGAGCATGATAACATGTGAAAATGCATGATGAGAAACAGAATGATCACTTATTTTCTTCTAAGATACAGCCCTCAAGGAAGCAAATCTACTCATACACAGCAGGCTTTTGAATAAAATAAGCTGGGGGACCAGCGTTGTGGTGCAGCTGGTAAGCCACAACCTGCAACATTGACATTTCTGCTGCTCCTTTTCTAATCCAGCACCCTGCTAATGTGTATGGGAAAGCAGCAGAAGATGCCCCCAGTCCTTGGTACCCTGCATCCACATGGACGTGCGAAACCCGGATGGAGTTCCAGGCACCCAGTTTCAGTCTAGCCCTCGGTCTCTGTAACTCTGCCTTACAAATAAATAAATCTTAAAGAAAAATATAAGCTGGATAAAAGATGAAAACATGGTTTCCAATTTGAAATCTTGTTTTGTTTTTGTCATCCACGCTAGAGAGTGAACTAAGGTGTGCACAAATGCAAGTTACTATATTATCATGATCTACAGTGATACATCTGTTTCATCTGTCACTTAGCATACACCATACTATGGCTTAAAACCATATAGACACTAACCAAAGAATGATTGCCAAGGTATTCTTTTAAGGTGACTATTTTAAACAGATGGGTGGGGTGCAGGTGGGTGTTTGGCCTAGCAGTTAAGATGCTGGTTAAGACACCTGCATCCCATATCAGAATAGCTAGCTCTGGATGTTGATTCCAGCTTCCTGAAAATCCAGACACTAGGAAGTAGCAGTAATGGCTCAAATAATTTGGTTCTTGCCACCTACATGGGAGACCCGGATGGAATTCTTGGCTTCTGACTTTAATTCAGCTGCGGTAGGCATTTGGGGAGTGAACTGGCAGAAAGAAGCATATTCTCCCTCTCCTCCTCCCTCTCCCCTATCCTCTCCTTCCCTTTTGTCTCTCCTTTGGTCTCTTCCTCCTTCCTTCAATCCCTTCCTCCATCTTTCACCTCTTGAATAAATTAATAATAATAATACAACAAAAGTGTAATGCATAGAATTCCAATCATTGCAACAGTAGGTAGCTTGGTTTTAGAAAACAAAATGGTTGCATGCACAGTTCCACCACCTATTTGCTTGATGTGTTTCAGGGCTGAGTGGTTCTTACCATGTTAATGTCACAATCCCATGCAAACTGTGACATTAGCATCTTCAGCTAAGTGACACTATTCTATCTACTACCTAAATTTCTGATCCTATTTATGTTTGCTTTAGATCTGGGATACTTGGGTACTCTATAAAATATATACATTTATTGCTTTTAAAAAAGTAGGAAAAATCAATGTACTCTTGTTCACAACATTCAACATTGTATTTATTTTCACTTCTTTTAGTTCTCTCTCAGTCTTTGTTCTTATAGATGCCCATTTTCACATTGTAAATGCTCCATGTTTCCTTCCAGTGTCACAATTGAAAAGCATAATGGCTACATAGTGGTCTATTGAGTTAATTATTATAATTTATTAAATGCTGAACTTTCAACCCAGTGTTATAATACAGTGCATTAAGCCACCACCTGTGATGCCCACATCCCACATGAGTGCCCATTCAGGTTCCAACTGTTCCAACTTCTGATCCATCTCCCTCGATAACATGCCTGGGAACGCAGTAGTAGATGACACAAGTACTTGGGCCCCAGCCACCCACAAGGGAGATTTAGGTGGAATTATAGGCTCCTGGATTCAGCCTGGCCCAGCCCCAGCCATTTGGGGAGTGAACCAACAGATGGAAGATCTCTCTATCTCTCTCTCCCTCTCTCTGTAACTCTGTCTTTCAAATAAATAAAACAAATATTTTAAAAATAAATGTTGGGCATATGTTTTATTCAGATTTGTCACTATTACAAATTATATCATCACAAAAATATTCATTAAATTATTCCTTAAAATCGATCAATCCCCTGCAATGGGAATTCTGGGTCAATGGGGGAAAATTTTTTATATGTTTGTTTTCAAACACCACATTTCCAAAAGCCATTTTTAGAATAGTAGATTTTTTAGGGAAATGTTTTTAGGCAAAAATAGTAGTTCACACAAGATTTTAAATGTATTTATGCAAACTAATGTCTAGCATCTCTGAGAGAATTTTTTAAAATTTCCACTCATTTATTCACTCTTTTAAGAACAATTATTTATTTATTTAATTTTAAGAGCAAAGTGACGGAGAGGGAGAGGGAGAGGGAGAGGGAGAGGGAGAGAGAGAGAGAGAGAGAGGGAGAGGGAGGGAGAGAGAGAGGGAGAGGGAGGGAGAGGGAGAGGGAGGGAGAGGGAGAGGGAGGGAGAGGGAGAGGGAGAGGGAGGGAGAGGGAGAGAGAGGGGGAGAGAGAGAGAGGGAGGGGGGAGAGAGAGAGAGAGAGAGATTTCCATCTGCTCATTCATTCCCCAGATGGTTGACCGCTTGTTCACTCCCCAGGGCTTCTCCAAGCTGAAGCCAGAAGCCATAAACTTTATCCGGGTCTCCAACATGTGAAGCAGGGACCTAAGAATTTGGGCCATCTTCTGCTGCTTTCTCAAGTGCATTATCAGCGAGCTGGATCAGAAATGGAGCAGAGAATACTCAAACTGGTTATTTGATATGGGATGCCAGTGTTGCAAGTGGTGGTTCAAACTTCTGTGCCACAATGCTGGGTCCCATCCCCTCATCCACTCTTCTCTCAGGACTGGGAATCTACCTCTTCTTCAGGACTCTTTCAAGCTCCTTTACAGCAAACATTAATCTCTAATGCAAAAGTGGAAGTCTTCAGTCTCAAGCTAAGTGAGTTCAGATAAGGAAACATCAGGATCCCCACTAGTATGTAAAGGCTAAGGGGTACCTAGCCCTATTTGTATGGACAAAGATTTTTCCAATTAAATGAGGGGAGAAATATCTAGCTAGATGTACAGCTCCTGTTATAAGCATTCAGTTAACAAGTTAAGAATAGGAAATTTGATTTAATTTGGCTTAATGGACCAGAAATTATTCCCTTGATCATGTTGAGGTTTGGTATGTTCATTGAGAACATGCAAAACTCCTGTGATTACATAAATTGTTCTCTTTTTATCCCGATACATACTGTTGTACAGTCACTGCCTGTGAACAGAGAAGTAATTTATGGTTGGTGCATTGACATAATTTAACATTCACAACTTTGAAATTCCAATTAAAATCAATAAGACATTGTTATGCTATAATAAAGAGAGATGGTGGGGAAGGGGTAGAATATTAGTGAATGATGAAAGTAACTACATTACAACACTGAGAATTCTTTATAGTAACACTGCCCCAAGAAACATGATTAATACCATAAAATGCAAAAATTTGAAGGATCAATTGCTGAGCAAAAACGGAACCACTCTATCATATTAGCAGTATGTTCAAGAAATGAATTACCTCACCATTATAGAACTACAATTTGTAAAATGATGAGCAAAACATTGACAAGTAAAGGTATGTTTGGAAGACATTAAACTATAGCATATGATATTAAAATGGTATTGCACTATCAGGGCAGCACAGCATATAGCAATACTAGAGCTAAGACCATGTCAATTTTTGTTTTATAAATTGAAAACCTTTTAGTCCACATTCAATATTAAATGGAACATTAAGCATTAGTCTAATGTTTTATACATAATACATGCCAAACAAAACTGAATCACGATATTTTAAAAACCTCATTAAAGGATTCTAAAGTGTTTCTGTGTGTACTTTCATGAGAATTTTGGATGAACTTTTTACAACTCTCATCTTTTTAAACTGCTGTGCTAATGAAAGAGCAAATGTGGTTTTATCCTGTTTCCATCTTCACTGAGAAAACATATAAGATTCTGTTCTTGAGGTGGGCATTTGGCCTGTTAGGATGCATACATTCTATATCAGAGTGCCTGTGTTCTAGTCCAGCTCCAGCCTCCAATTCCAATTCCCTACTAATACAGATCCTGGGAGGCAACAGCGATGGCTCAATTAGTTGAGTCCAGGTCACACACATAGGAAGCCTGAATTGGGTGCCCAGATCCTGGCTTCAGCTCCCCAACTGTTGTGGGCATTTGGGGAATGAACCAAAAGATGGGGGTTCTCTCCCTCTCTCTCTCTCTCTCTCCCCTTCTAAAATAATAAAAGAATTAAAATTATAAATTTAATTATCCTACTCTCTAAAGGTATGTATACGAAGCAAATGACCAAGGACGCTATAGCTATTTGATATTTGGACTAGGAAGTATTCATGCTCTGGATATTTATCTTTGTTGACCTAAAATTATTTTTAAGTGTATGGAAACTGACTTATGACTCAATATAGAGCGTTTGGTGGCCCTAACTTTGCATCATCCTATTGACTTTTCTGACAATGAATAGTATCCACTGCCATTAAAGACAGCAAAGTACTTTCACTAATCTATCCTAAAGGCAGCCTTTAAAAAAAGACTTGGGTATTTACATTTTTGTCCTTTGTATCTACTGACCTACCAGCTAATATATCTCTTACTGTATCATTTTGCTAGGGTTTCCATAAGAAAATGCCATATACAGGGTTGCCAAAAACCAAAATGTATTTTGTCACAGTTCTTGGGGTTAGTAATCCAAGAGATCAAGGTTTTGGCAGACTTGTT